ACCCCCCCAACCCATCAATTCAAGTTGTGGGCCCCCAATTTAGCCGACAGGAGCCGTTAATTGACACTCAACACTGATCTAGTTTGAAGAGGACTTACTGATTGGATCCCCGTCTGTCTTTTAACCTGGCCAATTTGTTGACCTGTTCACTTGGCCTGATGAAGCTTCTGTGTCAAAAGCGAAACGTTGCCCAAATAAAAACTACCGATTGTTTACCAAGCTCTTCTGAAACAAACGTTATTATTATTAAGAGAGGACTGGTGGATGATTTGGAGATTCACAAGGGAATCGAACTTGCGTCGCCAGTCTTAAACACTTGGACACTTATGATTCAGGCAACTAGCTTGTCATACCCTACAGTTCTCGCTCGCTAGAGGACACCGCTTATTTCTGTTTGTCCGCGTTTTTCTTTTCTCTAATAAGTTCTTTCAACTGTTTCAGGACCCAGGTTCCGTCAAGCAACTGGAGCAAAACCTTGTGAACCAAATTTTCAATACCTTCTACGAAACCGGGGTTACTGGCAAGTAAGGACACATTTTCGTGTGGGTGCGTAGCTAGTCTTATTTTGTAACCATCGTAATTACAGTTGCACTACTAGTACGTATCTTTTATCAGGTGTGTGAATACCGGAACGGGTGTACCGCATCCTGCCGCTGTTCACCACTCCAGGAAGTGAGGACAATTTGCGTTTGCCCGTTGACATGGGTGAATGCGTCTATATCTTCGTGTGTGTGTATGTATGTGTGGAAAGTTTCCGGTGTTCGTACGCAGTGTATTCCAACTATTCTGTTCGTCTACAAGTTCTGATCTCATGGAGACATTTTACTGGCAACGTACGGGCTGAAAACATCGAACAGAATGATTCAGAAGCGATTCCAAACCGTTTAAGAAACGCATTGTACGCAAATCTTTGATATCCTCCAGATAAAAGGTCACCGTAAAACTTTGGTATCACGCAGAGATCAAAACTCTTTTGCCATTTAGCTTCCGTGTATTTGAGTGGATGATGGGTCCACCTCGGTTTGAGCAGCCGGACCATGCTCTAATTATGGTCCATGACCACCGTTTGTTGGTGCATGTGCTCTGCATGTCCGATCACCGTCTACCGAATAAAAGTCCCAACCTCACACCCTTTTGTTATGAGATTGGTGGGAGACATAGCCACATAAAATGAAAGTTCATGCTGGATACGGAGACGTCTTCGTACCTTAATTGCTCTGCTCGATTTGTTTCTGTCTACATGCCGCTGAAGACTGCGCAACGCGGTACATAGTCGATCTCACCGGCAAGATGCTGGTTTCCCAGCTGCATTTGTGTTTTGTGTGTCCTAGGCGTTGTACTCTGTTGTGACGTCGATTGCTCTGTGTGAAGGCTTTGGGTGAGCTGAAATGTATGTGCTCATGCCTCAGCAGTCTAGATAGCCACTTCTTGATGCATGTCAGATGATACCGAGTTATTAGGCACCTGGTCCAGCTTGCTTTAACGAACAACTAGTGGGCATCCCAGTCCATCTGCACACACGTTCTCACTGAAGCTAAGGACGAAAACAACTGTTCGACACTAACCAACTTAACTGGATTTTGATTGTCTGTCTAGAGGAAATGGGTTAACTTTGAGGGTAAGTGCACGCACTCACTCGTAGTGCTATTAGGAAAGGTTCCACCCACCCAAGTGCTTTTCGTCTGGCTTGTTCTGGATGTTCTGGGTAAGTGGTTTCAATCGCACGGATGTGCAAGGCGAACTTCAGTCACCAACACTCAGTAAATTGCAGATTCCTTGCGTCGCCCCTCTGCGTTATGGGTCATATCTTACGTACAGGGCTGAGAACAAAGTTCTACGAATGTACCTTTTTTCGATACGGGCAACCGGGAATTATTTTGCTGTTTACACTGTATGCGAACTCCTGTGGACTCGTACGAGTATACGGGAAGCTCTCGCCTGAGTTCACCACATCCAGTGGTGTAAGATTAGGCTGTCCTCTTTCCCCTTTCCTCTTCAATTTTGTTATTGATATGTTGCTTGGAATTTATCTGTCTGCCTCTGAAACCGGGGGAGTCGAAATGCTACCGGGACGTTCCCTCACAGGCATTGAGTATGCAGACGACATTGCTCTCCTTATCTCAGATCCTTGCCAAGCGGAAACCACTTTAAATAACCTAAATAACTGTGCTGTACGGTTTGGCATGCGCATCACACCTGCAAAGTGTAAGGTGCTGCTACAAGACTTGGTGGGATCGAACCCACACCTCATGCTTGTAGGAGAGCCAATTGACGTGGTAGATAAATTTGTTTACCTGGGCAGCTGTATAAGTTCCGGTAGACTGACCGGAGGTGAGATTACTTCTCGAATCGCAAAAGGCCATGGCAGCTTTTGCCAACCTTCGACACCTGTGATACCGACGTGATGTAAGCTTGTCTGTCAAGGGAAGAGTTTGCACTGCGCTGGTGCGATCCATTCTGCTTTGTGGATCAGAAACATGGCCTCCATGCGCAGAAAACATACAGAAGATGTCAGTGTTTGATCATCGGTGTTTCTGAAGCAGTAGACAGGTCTGATGGGAACATCGGACTGTTAAGGCTGAGGTACGCCTGATGTTCTTAGTAAGAAATAACTCTCCAGCGATAGATGGATTACTCACGCTTCATAGGTTGTCCTGGTTAGGACATGTACTCCACATGCCAGAAGACCGTCTGCCTCACAGAGCTCTTTTCTCCCAGCCCTGTACTGAGTAGAAGCGACCGAGTGGTGAACAATGTATGACCTGGCAACGAAGTTCGAAAACACCAACCAGTAAACTTAGTCCGGTAGGCAACTGCCGCCTACCTGGATGGGGACCCTGGGACTCAAATCACCAGTGGTTAATGACATTGGCGAGAATGGTCCAATCGCGCAAATAGTGATGTTCGTGCATCAAAGCTATTGCATTCGATGCGTAGCTACCCGAACAAACTGAACATGCCTTCGCCTCCAAGGCTTGATGGTATGTTCCACTCTCCCGTTTCCCGGTGATCGGAACTGCAGCAGCTGGAACCAATGTGCCTATGGTACACGGCTTATGGCTGATACATTGAATTGAATTGTACAAAGGATAAAGTCACCGCCCTTCTATTGTAATCGCTGTGCAAATTATAAACGATTTTACATCTCCAACCACGAGGAGCTCTATTGTATTGAACCTAGAAATCCTAGGCTTTACAATGTGCCTTGGTACACGGCTTATGGCTGATACATTGAATTGAATTGTACAAAGGATAAAGTCACCGCCCTTCTATTGTAATCGCTGTGCAAATTATAAACGATTTTACATCTCCAACCACGAGGAGCTCTATTGTATTGAACCTAGAAATCCTAGGCTTTACGTTTTGAACCATGTTATTGGAAGAACCATGAGCCCGAACGTCAATTAGTATAAATGTTGATGTTTGTTGAAGCGTGGAAACTCTACTGTATAATTCTACTGAGGTCCTCAGGATTTCAATTATCATTCGTGTTCTTTGGAGAAACAAGTGGCCTCTACATCAGGTGTCAGACTTGCCAAATCCGCGTTGTTTGAAAGCATTCTGACCATGGTGGTCAAAACTACCTTCGTTTATCGTACTGACTGTATACGGGTTTAGATGCGGCACTCCGTGCAATTTTGTGAGTGCTTTCCACAGACGCCACGACACTTGCTAGAGATTTAGTTTCAAACTCGAACCATCAGAACGACAAGAACAGTCCCAAAAGGACAAACGTTCATTCGGCTTTCTATTTCTGGAGCCGAAGTTCTTGAGAAGTAGCTCCAACCGTACACTCATTTTGCGAACAAGTTTGGTTTTGTGAGAGGCTTACCCAAGACCAAACTGAACCGTATGTAGAGATCGAGTATCGAAAACTGCGTTTGGTATTCACTTTTGAGGACTCTGATCATACTGACATACTGACAGTCGTTTTTTGGAAATATTACTTGACACCTAAGTGATCTGCCTTTCCTACCATCTTGGTCCTCTTTTCATATTGGCGCAATCTGCCTACGAGGAGTTAGTATAACTTGAATTACCTTTTTTACCACGTTGCGTCAAAGCCATGCATGTTTACGTTCGATAAAAAGTTATTTTTCATGGTAGTATTCGCCACACGCCAAATTATGGAAGAATAGTGGGAATAGAGAACCATCTTACCACATGGTATGAATCGACAAAAGGTGTCCAAATAGGTATCCACTTTTGGCGAGTAGCGGGATCCACGTGATGATGAGTTTAATGACGGACAAAAATATTGACTGTGTGGTAATAAGCCAACATTTTGGATTACTTGATTCTTTTGCTTAACACATGTTCGGACATTTTGTGCACACATTTCATCATCTGGACCATCAAATTATTCCCACTGAATTTTTCACTAGTTAAATTGCGGTACGGGACTCGGCGTATTATTCTTCAGTAGTCCCTGTTCCAAACTGTAGTCATGTACTCGCTCGTCCACCAGGATGCTTAACGTCCTGACTGAGGCAAATAGTCTTCATGTACCTCCATGAGTCACACCTGGAACTGGTGTTACAATGCCGATTTCACGGGTGTCAGCTGTTTTCGCGAGCACATATATCATCATCATTTGCATCGGTCTCTTTATCCGCTCCCTTGTACTAGCATCTCTATGTGACCCGAAGGGATAGTCTGCCTGTACGCATGCATCCGTAAACAGTTTACCGTCAGCTTTGCTGTCACACGACTTTGCTTAGAATTTCAATAACCCACGCAATTCTACCATTTATTGGTAAACATCCGTCAGCTGGAACCACTAAAAATGGTTCACTGTTGATATCTGATACCGAGGACACTTCGATTCATATCCGTACTCACTACGACCGTTTTAAAGTGCCAGAATTCGGCCGATCTGTAGGTGCAATTTCCTCTCGATTTTGGATTGCCGCAGATGACTTCATAGTCTAAAAAGGTAAATTTTATTGAAAAGACTTCCAGTTACTATCGACACAGTGTTCGTATGCTATAACACACTGCACTGTACGATTAAAAAACTAATGATGCTTTCTTGATATTGCTGAAAACTCTTTGACAGCAATCTTATGAGTAATCTTATGACTAAGTTATCAGCTCCCGCCTCCGATGCGCAACTACCTACCCCACCTCCCCGAATCATCGGTGCACAAAATTGTGGCAGCTAAAACCACTGTACGACAAGTACGCGGTTATTACAGCTGACAAATGAATGAATAGATGCGGAAGTTATATCAGTCTCCTCTTTGGCTATTCTAAGTCGGAATGTCTGAGCCTCCCGGTTGGTACTGTATGGGCGATTCCTTTAGGTTATAAACCTTGTCAGTAATGGTTCAAGACCGTATTCTCTAGTGGTTATGTTGTTCCACCTATGCTTTCATTATGACACCAGAATTAGTTGGTTCTATAACTGCAATGTAACTGTGAGACAAGGTTTCCGGGATCAATTGAACGTTGGACCCTGCGGCAGTAACCAGAACCTGTTGATTGATATGTGACGGCTGTAGCGTCCAACTACTGGCGTAACGATGGGTACTACTAATGAACCATGCGAGTAGTCTATGGTTAGTGGCCAAGCTCGGCCCCGCATCTGATGGAAGATGAAGTCTATTGTGGAAATTGCGGAGTGCTCGTCTATTATTGTGTTATGGTTAGTGAATATCCAGCAAAGTTCAAGAAGATGCGTGAGAACGTTCAATTTTTAAAGACTATGTGCATATGAGATGTTTACCTTCTTGTCTAATGATTTGTAACTGCTTAGTTCGTGTTTGTGACGTCGCATCGAAGGTCTTTCCCCTTTTTAACGGTATTTTTACTATCATATATGTATACCTATACCAGCCATGATCGCCCTGGTAACCAGAGCCAAAACACTTTGCGATACGATGCAACGCGATAACCGATTTTGCAACCTGAACTATAAACCTGCCGAAAGCATGCAACACCTTTACCGATATTATTATTTTAAAGTCAAATATTGGATGAAGTTTTGCACTTGGTTGAACGGTTTCTTAAGCTCCTAGCGTTTGTCTCGTTTCATTTTCTCCAGCACACCAGTCAACCAACTCTTCATACTTCCTGGACACAACTTCGTTCATGTACTCCTAGGAACTGAATATAGTTCCTCAGGATCCGGCGGTCGAAGGATGGTACACGATGGAGACCTTGCACAGGAATACTTAGAGTCTATTTTAGACAATATGAACTTTGGTCATTTGAGCTCGAAAAAGGAGACCAAGCGTAGCCATTTGATTCAATCTTGTCTTAAGCCGACCGACATGATGTTTGAAGCACCACCAGAGCCTACAGCTTGGGACTATCCACCTCCAGATCAGCCTGAGGAACACACGCTAGCTGCGTTTCTTCACATGCATGTGAGCAACATGCTGGATCAACTTGCCAGTCGTACAGGAGGCTTTAGTCAAAATCCGTTGGTACATGAGTTGCCCACATGCAAAGGATGGTTTATGGTAAGTTGGAGACCATGTGAGATTTTCTCATTGTGTTGACTAGTTCCTATAGCTATCTTGCAGTATCGATAAATTTATCTGAATTTTCTGCAGATTCAGCCCTAGGCACTAGCACTTGCATTTAAGGATGGATCTTGAGCGTGATATACCATATGACAAATAGAGAATGCTACTGGTGACATTATCTAGATTTCTAAAGGCTGACCGTTGTATCCCATCGACAATCCAAGGTCCCCTGTCACCCTTAATTGGCAACGCGGGGCCAGCCGAACGTGAACAAGCAGTCAGCGAAATTGAACGTGATAGTTGATTGTCGAACCAGAAGCACAGAACTGATTCGATGGGAGCGAAATAAGTGCTTTTACAAACAGACGTCTGCCCTAGTGCAATTAATGCAGTGTCCAATGTTTGTGCAGCCAAACTACAGAGATGCCAAGTCGTCATATCAGAGCAGGAGAGACTTTTTTCCCACCATATCAGTGACCATTTCAGTCAGCTTCATCCGAGAGGCAAAGACTTACTCTTTTCTGGATGATTGTACCTTTAGAGGAGACAGTTGTTTCGTGCCCCAAAAGTAGAGGCGTTAGCGCTGGATCCCTTCGATTTTGAAGGCTGCTTATAAGATCTGAAGTGAATTTTCTAGTCGGGAGATGGCATGAAGGAACTCCTCCATCATCTTGATTAAGTTTCAGCAAACCATCCTTCCGGACGAATAATACAAAATTCATTAGCTCTTTTTCGAATTTTCTAATCTCTGTCTAAGGTAGATCAAAATGATCAAAAATAAGGTTTGCTGGAAACTCATGCCTTTTCCACCGCATTCCCCCATCGCTGATTTTTGCTCACCAGCAAGAAATCCAAACTCCAGTTTTGACCAAAGTATGTTTATAAAAGCCATAGAGTGTGGTAATGAAACAGAGGTGAGCTTTGTACTGCTTCGTGTGTTCAGAGATCTCCATTCACAAGCCAAAACAGTTCTGATCGCTTGGTTTTGAGGTCGTTGCTCGACGATTGGTCGTTTTCTCGCCTGTTTCTGTGAGTGGCTCTTCACCTGAAAAAGAAGTACTACTTTATATGCAAAATATTGTGAAATCCATTGACAGGGCATACGAGCGTTATCCTCCAGAAGCATTTCTGATCCAATTAAAAGCATGACAGAACCTTTTCGTCAAGCTTAGCAACCCATTGAACTATGTCGGTGGATCCTCATGAAGCTTCTACAATTTCTCATACGAAGTTGGTCAGTGGAGAACCTTCTGGCATTTTCATTCACTTGGTTCTCCAGGTTGGGAGTTGGAGCAGTTGTGACAACTTGTTCCTTACGATATCGATTGGTTGATATTACGTCAACCACCGCTGCATTGCGTCTAGGCTTTTGAAATAAAGGCCCTGGTTAAAGGCTCTATTAATCTTTCTGTCTGCTTTTGGGTGCACTGATTGTACCACAGCCCGCACAACAGATTACAGCCGAACGTACCATCATGACACATCGGCCATAAAGTGATGGCATTATCTCGGTCATCCTACATAAGGCAAGAAATATAAACGGAAACAGGACACCACTGGCGCGTCCTTTCACTTCTTATTGTCATCTGTTAACGTGCCTCTTGATCCATTTATCAACCACTCTTCTATGGACCCTTGTTGTAATGACGTCAGTCACTTAACCAGGAACGCGATTAAGTGCATGCCATACCGGAACTCTAATTATAACTCCAAGTCGGCGAAGCACGCTCTCCCTCAACAGCTAACCATCCTCGTATGCTCTACGAATAGTTCAGATTAGTCGTAACACCGAGAGACGCATGAGTAGAGTGCTTCCGTTCATACAAAGCACCTCTTGGTGGTATATTTAGTTGGCATACAACGTACAATCCATGATGAGCGCCTTTTCCAACTTTGTACCGCTTACCAGTTGTTTCTCACTAGTAGCTGGTTCAGACGCAGTGACCGACGCTTTGTACCTGGTACTCCTTTATTGAGAAGCTGCCTGAGATACAAATTCACCACAGCTCCCTCATCTACCCCTGGTGCAGATCAGTCCTTGACTGCTAAACATTCTGGAATATACATCAATTCAGATTAGGACTTCGTTCGGTGTAAATTTTCTTTGAAGTTCTCCTGAAAACCTAGAGATCAAGTGGAAACCCCTATGGGTGGATGCTCTGTTTGTGTTTTTTCCAAGTGTGTAACGAAGAGACTGGACCTTACCTCAGTTTGAGGGTTTGTGCGTACACATAATCTAGCGACATACACTGGGGAGTGTACGTGTGACACTCACAAAGTTTTTCATACTTGTTTGGTCACTGGGTACCGACCAGACTAACACAGTCCCCTAGTTCTTCAGGTTTGGGATCAGCAACTTGTTCTTTAGTAAAAGGGGATACATTAACATTTCCCAGCAAACATCACTGCCTTGTAGTCAGGCTTTTGAGTCAAATGCTTTGAACCAGAACACTCACCTAACAAAGTCACCTACTGAAGTCCTTTCTTATGTGGATTCTTACTAGAGGTTTTTGTTCGGAACCCTGCAAGATGCAGTGTGCCCCGCTTGAGGAACGGCGGATCTAGATCTAAGCAGTGGATCTCGAACACTTAAATTTCTCCTGGTCCAAAGTACAATACCACTCGACAAACTGTCAGACCTCAGGTGACACAGCGTCTGAGGAAATTAAAAAGCTTGGGCGGCCCACAGAAGTGAAGAGCTGGAGGAAACGGGAAGCTCGGGATGTGCGTAACCTGTTCCAGCTGACACGCAAACTGGCCTCTGCTGGGCGATGGCGAAACAATTCCGATAAAAGCAGGTCACTTGTTTTTGAGAAGGGAGAACGTTTGCATCAATGGGCTGAATGGACAATCAACTACAATTAAACTGGCCACCTGTCGGATTCCCGACCCGCTACGCATCCCTAAACAGTGAACTTGAAACCTCCGACGGCTTCGGAAGTTAATGAATTCTGTTCACCCCACAAACGTCACTGAGTCGCTGGCCCTGACGAACTCCCATCTGCTCGATTCAAAAATGGAGGTGAAATCCTTAGGCGGTGCCTGTTTAACTTATTTGGGCGAAGGAAACCATTCTAATCAATCGGCTTGTGTCGATCATAGTCCCCATACTTAAAAATGGTGCTCACAATGAGTATGGGATTAGGCTGACTTATGTTTCAATCAGAATATTCTTACTTCATCTTATGAAGTCAGTGAAGACGGGACCTGAGATCATCAAGCGGGATTCCGGCCGGGAAAGGGTTGTATGGACGACATCTTCATACTCTATCAAGCGTTAGAGAAACGATATGTGTACAGGCGCCTCACAATCTTGGTGTCCCTTGACTTCAAGACTGCGTTCGATTCTGTCGACCGGTTGATGCTTGTCCACCCAGTCACACAACAGGGTATGTTCCAGAAGTTCGTGAATATCATGCGCCGTTTGAATTTACAAACAGCTCACGTAGCATCGCAATTCACCTTCTATCAGGACTATTTTGGTGCATCTTACTGGGCATCATCCAGATGCCGGTTCCTTTTCACTAAAAATTCGATGCTTACTAAGTGTCTATTCATTAGCCTGAGATCAGATTACTGTGTTGGTGGGTCATCTAGTCAGAAAGGTTTGTCTGAGGTCTGAATGGTACAAGCCTTCCGTTGAGTTTGTGTTGATCGATCTTTGGTTGAACTCCCCGCACTGAGCTGTAAGCTGGGAGGAAATCGTAATCGCCCGCTAGCAATAAATCGCCTATTATTTATCAACCTTCTCTGAAGCCGTGACTTGTCGGAAGAATGTCATGATAAGTTTGGGTGCTGTTTGTCTTGCTCGCCTTCCACAGTAGGGTCCACGTGCCCCTCTATGTGTTTGACTGGACACAGTGAACAATATGGTGGCCAACCGATGGCAGTGGCGTTGTGGTTGTCAGTTTCTATCCAGATTGTCCAACCGAATGATGGACATGTAGGCACCTCGGTTGTTTGTAATAGACTAGCCGTAGACCTCCCTCCCTCCGTGTCGCATTTCTTTCCTTCCATTTTAAGACCCCATTCACATAAAGTGACATGGTCTTGTGACGGTGTTCCCCTGGTGTTACTGTCATTGATAAGGATGATGATAGTGATGGTTTCAAAGCTCTTCTAGTGGGTTGAAAACCACTGTACCTACTACATGATAAGGCCTGATCCATGAGTGCATATATACATAACCACTGGTTTTTCGTCGGTCATTATATAGGTGTTCCAACTATCTGACTTTCATTGATTGGTTTCTCAGATATTGTGGACCATAATGTAACTGAGACATCCTTTGCTCACTGACATTAGTGGGTGCCATTCGATAACTGACAGTGAAAACCCTTTCAGATTCCGAACTGAATTTCATAGTTACTGGCATATCACCGACTTGCTGACACTGACCATTTCTGTTATGTTAACTTTCGTTTAGGTTTTCAACTAATGACTGACACAAACAGCAATAGTTGAACTGGTTTCCAAATTACCAGGTCGATCTGTTCCTGTTTTAGGCGTGTTACAAATTGTATACGAGTCTCATGGCGGATGACGTCTTACCAACGGATGTGGTCCCAGAAATTTCTGCTGATCAGTTGTGTGAAGATTCCTCGGTACGAACTTCGCTTGCTCAAGCATGGTATCGCTCCTTGATGGCACTTGTCTCCTGTACAACAGTACGATCTTCCGGTCTACCAAGCTCGGTTAGTCAAGACCCAGTGGTTGGCGGCGAGCATACAACGAAAGACATCGTTCGTAGTCAGTCACTTCGCACCGATCCACTTTACAGGCTCTCTGAAATTCGATGTCGGGCAGCATTGACAGCCGCTGAAGTTCATTACAAGCAGGACCTTCCTATTCACTACTCGAACACTTACCATTTAGTCAAGGTACGGTTTTTAAGCGATTTTTTTTTGCTGGCTCTTGAGGGATGCCCCACACGAACAGATCTTTTTGAACTGTGTTAGCAGTCGAAAAATTTACACAGGCTAGATACATTTCTCTGTTATGTGGTATCTACATAGCGAGCGGACGTAAGGTCAGCTGATTTGTTGATCGAACCAGATTTACTGGGAAACTCACTTTTACTGGTTGCTTTCATGAGCACTACTTCTGAACGATTTCCACATACGAGCGGGTTTTTCTGACTCTACTCTGCTCGGTCTTAGTTACATTCATTGCTAGAGTGTGTCACGAATTCGTGACACGAACTCCACCTACATTGAGTCGACATTCATCTGCTTCTAAATCTCCATGATTTGTTGCTAGAGTTGCCGAATTAGTACCTATATAACCCCCCTTTCCGTCCCTTCTGACACGACTTTATTATATAAGGATATGAGAAGGATACAGCGATGTAACTGTGAGCTTCTAGTGGCCACAATCGGTCTGTTCGCAGTTGAAGGGATGACCCAGGTCGTAATGTTGACCGTTGATTTGTTCGCTTGGCTGAACAGTTTGTTTGCAAAGGTTTCATGACCGGTAAAACTTACAGCACTTCCATCCACAACCGCGGTAAAATGTTTGCGGACAAATCAACGGTCAGCATTGTTTCACATTTCAACTCTACACCCCTACGTCTATATTTTTCGCCTTTTAGATTACTCTGGTTACACAGCAGAAAAGCGACTACCGGTATGGGTTCATCATAATTATGAACCAGTATACCTCAACTACGATGTACAAAGTGATAGTGACAACTTGTAAGGTACTTCTACTCTGACCGATGTGGGTAGTTTGCTAACTATCCACCATCCACCACTATCTATCCTCAGATAGATGCCTGACAGTAATCACCGTAACACTATTCTTAGTGCAATCAGCTGATATCATAAATTCGTTTTTCTTTAGGACATTTGTTGTCGGTGCATTGTACTGAACCTATCCAGCACGGTTTACTATGAAAAGCTTTCCGCCAAAAGTAGTGCCAGAGATGCCCTCTAGTGCAGAACATGTATACTTCTGCTAACTCTTCTTCCAAAATCCGAACGCCCGCTCAAGACTTTTATCAATATTCTTTGCGGACTGCATAGTTCTAATTAAAAAAAGTCTTCACTCAGCGTCGAGAGGGCTTCCCAAATAGGGTTTGCTGAGTTGCGATTGTTTTCGCAGTACTGAATTCGAACACTGACCTGAAAGCCGTTTAGAGACTGTGCCTTTCGGTTGCCCATATCGAAGAAAAATTCACCTTTTGGAAATGCATGGAGCCCACACTGTAAGGAGGTCAGAATCCTACAATCTTGAGACTGATTTCTTATGAGTTTGCTGTGTGACCATTGACATCCTGCTACGCAGCCATCTAGATATCCACTTTGTCTTTCTGTTCATCTTTCATTGCGGAACGCGTTTGAATTCAGCACTTACTTCCAGCCGACTGCTATGAACCCACTTGCGGTATTCCCACTTTTCTGCTCAACAATCTCACGGCATAGCTTTCTCCACCTCTAGGTCGTTTCTGCCTTCAACGTGGTAATCAGCTTGGCCCGCGGTCCCCTTGTCTTCGCAACATTGGAGCAGTTGTCAAAAAGGTTAGCCCATCTTTACCTTGCTGGTCGTGTGACCTGCTCGGCAGTTTCTCTAACTGGCCAACCATGTCAGCATGAGCTCCATCGGCTCCCCGAGGAGGGTGCAAGTTTACGTGCCATTTTTCTGCCTGCTGGGAAAGAGGCTGTATGTTCGGAGTCCATAATAACTTCACGACTAGCCACCGGATTGAATCGAGAGGCAAATACCCTTTTGGATAACTTGGTTCCCTTCGGTAAGTCTTCCGGTTGTGTTGACTCGTGACTTTCCACAAAGATTGTCACTAGCTACTTTTCCTGGGTACAACAGTCTTCAGTGTGCCAGGCTCACATCAGTTTTTCTTTGTCGTGCCTCACAATTCGTCATAGGTCTCTCTGGAAGGTGGAGAATTTACTGGCTCCAGTCTCTCCTGACTGACCAGTTGACAGTTAAGACAGATGGCGCGAAAGTAGATGCTGATGAAGCGGTCGTAGGTGGAAGCTCGTCACAGAAACCAGATCTCACTCCAGCTGAGTCGGGAGATGACGAGACCAATCAACATCTAACTGTCATGCCACATCGTTCGGACGTCATCTTGATCAATGCCTGCAGCTGTGGTCGTCAACAGGCTGAGCGACCGGACCCCTTTGATTACAAAGAAGCTAACTGGCGCTTCTACTCTACGTTGGCTAACATGTGTTGTAACAAGGTTAGTCATTCCGTGATCACTACTGTTTTCGCATACTCGGGTCCGTTGGTTGTTATGGTAGAGCAAACGGTTATTTTACAGCTTCTGGTCTAATGGGAGATACCTCATGTTTACGTTCCACTGAGGTCCCCGGACGTTCTCGGCATCCTATACTTAGCGTCGGCCCATGTACTTTATCCATTTCGGTCAATGTAACCCGGTTTCTGTGGATGTGTACTCCTAGACGAGACAGAACACTGGATAATGATACCAACGGACAACCCAAACTCCTAGTCAGTGTTTCTTACTATCAAACTTATCTGAATCATGAATCCGTATGTAAAGGAGGACCGGGTAAACCGTTGCCTATAAGCGATTTCAGTCGTTTCGATCCTCACCGAACGAAACAAGCTTCTGGTACTCTCTCGCATCTGATGCTCGGTTTATAGCTGGCGAAATGAACTGCTGAATAGCACATGCACAAACGTAATAGGGGTGTGATCTTTTGTGTACTTTGCTCACATTCTCTGATATACCATAGTCCTTCCCTTAAAGAAAGCCCGGATAATGAGAGTCGCTACTAAGAACACTTCCACTTGTAGGGGTAGCAAAACCGATTAAGAAACAGGAGGGGGGTTGAAATTACCCATCAATTTGAACAGAAGAACCGTAGGACATGACCACTAGCCTTTTGTTTAACCGGGTGTGAAAGTTCTGCCCAACCGAAGTCCACTTGTTCAACTAATTTAACCCACAATAGGGCTTGTCCCATTGTGGCTATGGTAGTGATTGTCACCTGGTCTGACGCGAGAAACGAATCTGTGGTTCCAAAGGCATTTTACTGCATGTGTTTACTGTAGTAACCAATGTCACATAACCCTACAACCTAAACAACGTAGACGCTGTATTTTCCGCCTCCCCCACCTTAGAGACTGTTCAAGCGCTCCGGATGATTTTAGGTGTTATGTTGGGAAACATGGTGGTTGGTTCCGAGGGTGTGCAACCAGTATGTCTCCATTCTCACTTGCCAGTTTTAAGCAATAATGAATACTGATCGTTATGTAGTGGAGGACTTCCGGACATTCCAGTCCAATAATTTGCTCTTCGACGGATGAGAGGACATATCGTTGGTTGACGATTTGGATATACTGTACATTCCTTTCATTCCAAAAAAAAACAAGCGAATTCAACGGTGTCCGAGAGCTAGTCAGATTTCGGTGGGAGCATATTCGGCCTCCCGCGAATTTCCTGCACCGCTCCACAATCATATCCTGGATAAATTGTTTCAGACAAGGATACGCCACCTTGGGGTTAATTGATATTTCTGCCCATTGTACCATCTTTAATGTAACTTTTAAATGCTGAAAACCTCGGTGGTAACCAATAAAGTTGTATCTTTTGTTTCCTAAACCGAGACACAGTTCCCGTGGCTGGGTAGTGTGACTGCCGACTCCACTTCAGGATTGTTTAAATGGGCTTGTTCCCTCTGTGGCGTTCGGCTCGTTAACAAACTTGTAGAATTTACCACAGGTAATTTTTCTTTCAGTACGCAATTGTGTTCTGATGAGCCGCATCCCGATCTACTCCGGACATCTTTCACGTTGCTGGTCTCACTGTAAAGATGGAAGATTCGTTGGTTGGGGAACCCTACTAGTATCTGTCACTATTGAACTTCTATTATTGGTCACTACAACCAACGACACGTCATCGTCCTTTATAGAAGCCTTCTTGGTAGGACAATCAAGTTTTGTACTTTCCCCTTTTTATGGACGTGCAATGCGGTAATTGGTTTGGTATGCACTACGATATCAGAGTCAGGCGTTTATCTCATAAACTGGGAAAGACGGTTCAGAGATGTACGATGTTTGCTCGAACCAATTCCGTTCTGTTCATTTCTATTGGTTCCAGAGTACAAGGTTCACTGCTGAGCACCAGGGGTTGTAGTGACAACCATTCGATCTGTTTGTTACTCCTCAAACCCTCGATCATACAATAGTTTATCTCAGTTCTAATACCACCCATTCGTTCTAATTATGTCTTTGTTAGTGCCGATCGGCTGGAATATCCCATTAATCAGCAAAATGACAGTCAGTGCATTGCGGAAACCATCATGATCCCCTGTAGCTGTTGTTTTCGTGGAGGAGCCTGGGGTCATAACTGTGTTATTCTAGGGGGTGACGGCTATGCTAGGTACACTAAATCGGTTTCCACCCTGTCATATATATACATATATATATATATATATGCGGACAAATGAGACCTATCGAGTGTGATTAATGTACTCGTAAATTATTACACATAAGATTTTGTTTAAATTCGACACACAACTGCCTGATGAAACCGCCTTTGTGTCTGGGTGATGAACTGATGTCTAAGTTACTTTCCTGCTTTTGTCTTCTCTTGTAGCTAACCAGTATAGCTCTTGCGCCACAGTTCCTTTGTGACCAAGGTCATCCGTTTTGTCTACCTACTGACTCAGTTGCCGCAACTGCTTCATTAGCAGAAGGGCAAACTGTATTTCGAGCTTCATCACAAATCCCCTCGGATGGTAGCTGTGCTGCCGCACCCGTCGCGGTGCTCACAAGGCGCATGGCTGCTCTGGGTGTGAGCACCGATCATCGTCCTCTGCATTCCGGAGATAACCTGTCACCACAGGAACTTCTTCTGAACCAACCAGATCCAGCGGATGCGGACCTTTCCCAACCGGATGAGGAAGAGTTGATGATTTTATCGACCTCTGAACTGGGAGATGTAGATTTTAGAACACGCCAACAACCCAACGAAAACGATGCTACTGAAAACCTATGTAAGTATGACTCTAAAGCAGGTACTCCAAGTACAAAATTAAAAACCCACCTGCGGGCGTAGTCGAACCACCAAGCTGGTATCAGCGGAAACGTGGGCAAACACATATCTCAGGAGTGATTTGTCTTCTTCCCATGACGAGCACACATAACTAAAATAATAGATTTCCGCTTGGTGGAGTTGCCTACTCTTGTGAAGATAGTCATAATTCTACCTCCTTGGGGTGAATCCCTTAATGAGAAGTCATTAGTAGGATAGGGAATGTTGTTTGATGAGAAAAAAACCAACAATGAACAGTGTGTTTCTCCGGCTCAGTCTGATACGTCACGCTGAACAGGTACTTCTCCCAAAGAATTTAACCATCCACAAAACAAATCACTGTTTGGGAATGTATGTCTTCTGTCTCATCTCTGCATCGTCTGTTTTCCTCTTTGCCGTACATACACTTGCATCCCTTTTTTATAGTTTCACCAGAATTGTTGGCGCTCTGGTTGTTTTTCAAAGACTTGGCTACTGCGGTTCAGTGTAAAGAGGTTTTGGTACAACCACTACTCTGCAGATCGAATTGTTTCTTTGAAAATTCTCATTTGATTCCGGTGAGATATCACAAGTTCAAGCATACCACATGAGGATTTGCAATTGGTCAACACGTGACAACAAAGATCGTTACTGTGAGACCAATTAGAGAAAGCTCCCAGCTGTGGTCAGTAGGCTGGTGAGTCTTGGTTAGCTAAACCACCCTAAGACCGATTGTCCATTCGTATCCATTAAACAACGAGGATAGAAAAGCTATTTGTACTAGCTTTTAAGTGTGCACTGTTGGACGTAGGAGCTGTCGCACACTATGTAGTCGCCATTTCTGAATGAGACGTTGAGCTCACCTGAACGGTTAATGGTTGAAAGCCTTGGCTGTGCGAGATTTCAATCGCAGACAACTTCGATAAGGTGATCGCTCTTCAAGGAATTTCTGTGACTGATTTACCTTGGGTTCCCTGTCCTACGGTTTTGCTTGTGAAACGAGAACGAGAATGAACTTCTTGACGTTTGGAATAGTGAACGTCGCTTGGATGATTATCAATAGATGCTATAAGGCTCTTACTACCCGTATCCAGTTGGCTTCTCATTCAAAGTCTCAGTAGTTTATCTTTCTGGTTTTTACTTTCAATCGAATTCATTCACAGCCGCAATGGAAGGATCGGAATCTGATAGTACCAGCGAATCTAGTCTCACTTCACGAGCCCCTCCTTCAGAAGACGAGGAAGAAGTTGATGTCGACCAACCTTTGGCTGGATGTCGACGTCTTCCCGCAAAAGATGGGTCTTGTAGTGAATCGCGGTCACCTAGTCCATCTATGCCAGCTGAGCACAGTGCTCCTCTAAGATTGGTCGTTCGCTTCCGGGACGGTGTCCCTTCCTCCAACTGGATCGTTGGAGAGATCCCGCGCTACCCATCTTGGTCCATCTATGCTTTGGGAAAATATTTCAGCTATTCTCATTCCTCTGGTGAGTCTGTGCACCTGCTTCTGTGTGACCAAGGCTTTTCGTGGAGTTTCTTGATCTTTGCTCTTTGAATAGGACTGGCGGCAGATCACAGTCGTGCTCTTCAACGTGGGTCACCCAGATGAATTGATGTCACGGGTCCTGAGCTACTACAAAGTTGGTTGCCACTAGAAGCCTCCTAATTGTCCATCTGATGCTATCTTTTTTCGAATTTATCAAATCGGGCCTGTTGATCTAACCAGATTTGATCTGTTAGTTGATACAACTAAACGATTGAATTTGTGACTGAAACCCACTGCTTTTCAGACGTCGGTACTTCGAACCCCGCAAGTGGGCCAAAATGTAGCTCAGCAGGGTTCACGACTTTTATAGTTTCTGTAGGTGTTTTGCACACGTCTCAAACCATTCCTTCCTGGTGTTCACCATCCGGCGACTCAGAGTGACGGCGTCCGACAAATCTACGGAATTGGCCCTATCTGATGCCGATCAAAGAGCGCCCGGATCCGGTTGTTAACGAGAATGCCCGGTCCGCCTTACGAATACGTGGACATGCTTTCTATGGCGTGTACTATGCAAGTGGGAGCAACGTTTTTTCGAGGTTTGAGTTGGAACTCGCACATGTTCAGATTCATGGTTGTACGGCAGTGAAGCACCGGTGTTGAACACTGATGTCATGCTATCGATGATGATGATGACATGTTCAGATGCTGTATTTCGCTGTCACCTTCATGAATGTTATTTGTCGCACTTCAGGACTATCCTGCAGAGGCTTCCTGAGGAATAGCAACTTCTTACTACCATGGGATGTGACTATTGGAGCCGGTGCGTGGGCCTTCTCTGATCGCGGCGGTCGTGGTGGTAAATCTGGTCGCGGAGGAAAGTTTCGTGGTGGTAGAGCAGGTCAGTTTCTTTTCCGACTAAGTTGCGGTACACCTCAAGAGTATGTTACACCGGATTAATATGTGCCTTTCCAACTAGATCACCTACCACATATTCAGTCTTACTTAATTTCAAGCATCAAGTTTTGACTTTGCGATGAAAGTCGCCGACAACCGTGAGTGCAAATATAACGAATTCGACATAGTAGTCAGTCATTTCTTCCGTCAACCCCAAAAAGGTATGGCATTACGACGAGGATGAATTGTAGTCATCTCTTTGAATACACATTTCACTCAGTAGACCTTCGGATCGAAGGCTTTGAACAACAGTTCCGGAGACCACCTGCTGGTGTTCAGTCGGCTTTCGATCGGTATCAGAACTCCAGACCATAAACTTGGATTTCTCAAAGTTTTCTGGGGTACACAATGCGTGGGCGCCATAACGACGTTGGTCCTGACGAACTACCGCCAGCTTTGTTTAGGGATGAAGGCGAAACCCTTAGTTACTGCCTGTTCAACGTATTTACGTTTGTCTGGGAGAGGGGAGACCGTCGCAACCAGATGGGATGAATCAGTAGTGATGCCTACTTCAAAGAAGATGCTCGTAAACGTGGCTATCGCAGAAGTATCAGTTTGACCTCCCGTCGTAACAAAACTCCCAGAATCAGGCTGGGAGCTAAGAACCCCCTCCCCCGAGCTGAAGACAACGAGCAGTATATCGGCCAGAAATAGATGTGAACCACATGTTCACACTCCATCAACCACGACCCTCAATATTTGTGTTCTTTGATTTTAGGGGAGTATTTGGTTCTGTTGACAGGGCACATTTGTAAAACAGAGCGTGTTCCATAGCTGTTTCCATCACAGGTATAAGCATACGAGTAGTGAACGCTGATGCCTAGCTGTCATATATTTACAGACTTGTGGGTGTGTAGGAAGGTATGGATACCCTCCAGAAGCCTACCTGCAAGCGTGATCTCTAGCAAGAATATTCGTTTTCTTCATCCTTGTTCAATTTTGAGATGTTTAGACAAATGACAGAAAGCCTCCAGATCCCCGGTGTTCAAATAGTGACCGGCGAAAACGTAGTCTATCTTGAGTACGACGGTATGTTTCTAATTTTCGAAAATAAAACAGCGGGAGTGTTTCTTGAAGGGTTGACCGGGGTCACTGTGGGGCACTGGAGGCTACTGAGCGTTTTACGACGCATCTCAGAGGTTGCTTCAGCTGTGATGTTAGGCGGACGGACATGGTCCCTGCACAAATTTGTGGGTAGAATCGTGTTCCCCAAACTGTGGCAATTATAGCGTCTAAAAGGTATGCTATCGAGCGTCAAGGGTAGGGTGTATCAGACTAGTTGTCTGAGCTATTTAGACCTTATAACGCGGTAGTTTTTTATTCGAAACCCATGAGGCGTTGGCTAGTGTAATTCGTTCCTCGTTTTTCGTTGACATCACTTACCTTCAATGTTATTTTGCTGTTCTAATAAGTTCTCCTGTCAGTTGAGTATTGCAATCAATGATTATTGTATAACATGTGTTATTACTGAAGCAGCCTGTATTAAGGACATTTTTGACATTTTCAGATTCGGATACGGTAAAACTGTTTATCGGTTTTGAGATGGAGTGCCCGTTGGGTCACCGCTTCTTCCTTGCCGGTCCAGATCGAGCAATGGACGGTCCAATGCAAAGCAGCCAGGTACGTCGAGCGGTCCATGGTTTACTCACTCGCGACCTACCGCTCTACATGCCATGTCGATGTCGAACTGTACAAACAAACGATCCTCTGGGGCGAGGTGCTGGGTGCTTGATGTCGCGCCCGGATAACACTGCCGAATGGGACTCCTCGGGCGCAACCTCCACCGACAACAATGGGCGTCCAGTTGTGTGGGCTCAACTCACGCGAATCTATTTAGCCATTCCAGCAGCCCCGATCCGCGTCAGGTTTCAACCAAGAATCAGACCTGGTGCTCCCAGGTTAACCCCAACATTCCATTTGGGACATACGGTGGATCAATGTGCTGAGGGTTGTTTCGAAGCCTCTTCCGATTCGGAGCGAGAAATAACGGCTGATGAGGACAGCGACCCTGACCATTGTTGATACAAGGCTTTGGAATACCGCCGTCCAATATATAAACTCTCAAAAACGTCATCCCCCAAAGGTCGGAGGCAACGCGCCGGATTCGTTTCACTCAACAATGGATATCTCTGGGTGATTCGGTTACCGTATCCTTTTCATTGTTGCAAAAGTAATTTTTGTGTTTATTCTGTCCCAGCCACCACGAGCAACAGGTGTGCATATACGGCAATTTCGTATTTGAAGAAAGCAATCTCACGTCGCTGTGAATAGATCCCCCTGATCCAACGGTGTGTTGCTGGACGCTAGATTCCCAGTATGGGATAGAAGAGACTGTAATTCACCTCCAATTAACGTTCTAGGGTAATTACTTAGACTGGCATCAGCTTCCCAAAGCAATGTGTCCGATCATTGAGTAAACTTTGAGGTCCGCAAGCTCCGGGATCTTATGGCAGTTTATTACTAATAAACTATTGTCCGTGATTCTTATTACATTGACGCCTTTGTCGGCTTGTTGATTAACTAAGACTGACACATCTGCGGACTAACCATTACGTTTCCTCTGTAAAGATTCAGACTGCTCGGGGTGTGTGCAGTCAACCTTAATACACGCACATCATTCACGAAGGCCTACCGTTGTTTTCATTCGTGCTAATTAACCGCGCCTATTTAAAATGTTCTAACCGGCCACCATGCACCCTATGTCCTTATAGATTATTGCAGATTTTCCTACCATGATGGAGTTCAACTATTCCAAAGACCTAAAACACCGGAAAAATTGAAACAATGGAAATTACTGAAAGGTTCCATCAAGCTGGAGGTGTAGACTTACAAATCAGTTGTGATTTGTATCGGTCTGGTCCTCTTTTTCTTAGAGTTTTTGTAAAAATAAAGTTGCCTTATTATACAGAGAGGTGAGTTATACTTCGGTTCGGAAATGGTCAATGTTTTTCTTGGTTGTGGCCAACAGAATGTCTAGTTTTCACAGCCCGTGGCGGTTGAATTCTTCTCCGATAGTTTCCTGGCAATCTGCGCTTATTTCGAGCTGATTGTCTTCTGAATAACACAGTCGACGCGGGAGATTGAACAGAGGAACTTGTTAGGGCTGTTTCAAGGAAAATATTTTGGACCTCGTCCGGTTTCATCAAGATCGCCAAATGACGGATTTCCATAGGACCAACACGACAACAACCTCCCACCCATTGTGCCTTTGGATAGACCGCTTCTGGATCGCTTAGTCGAACAGCCACACCGTTCAACAACTCTTTTTCCCAATCTGCACAGCGGCGCATTGAAAATTGGACTATCGTACGTGCCCAAACACTCGGTCCTTTGTTCGGTGGCCATACCCAACGTCCACGTCTTCGACTTAATCCTTTTGGTGGGGGCAACCACATCTCACCACTGTTCGCGTACAGTACCAAGAGCTTGCGCGGTTTTGTGGACAGCTTATCCAGGTGATCTGGGCGCTTTGAACAAGGAGGCGGGTGATAGCCGTCGTCCGTACCGGGACCGCACCCATCTTGTCCTATGTTGAGATTGGATAATGCCAGCCCGATTTTATCGTGCTCAATACAGCAGTTCACGCCTATTCCGAATATCTGCAAATAAAACGGTATTAGACAAGTTTGGGAATCTGGAGATTGACAGATGTGGTTGCTTTTAACGTCAAAATAGTATTGAATTTACGATGAGAACACCGAATTCATCACACAGGAAATTGATAATCCTGTGATACGTGCTCGGTAAACATGCAAAGATAATACAGCCGGAGGACCGGGATTTTACGGCTCCACGATTCAACCACACGGATTATTTGGTTGGGAGATATTTGCTCAAAGTCGCGCTTTAGATCCCATCTTATAAGTGAGGTCTAGCTACGGTGGAATGCCGACAAGTACTGGACTCGTTAAAAATAGTCAGCAAACATACGTCTCGTGAATCTCTAGGGCTATCTTCCATCCATTCGTCAACGAGTGGCTGATGAACAGTGTGGCCAGCTTGCAATTAAACAAGACAGCGCTACTGCCATTCATCCATATGACGCTGATTTATAGCCTACCCGAGTCATTGAGAAAAGCTTGTCACACGTACAGACATTTTTTCCTGAAACCACCATTATCCCAACCTTACCCGAATGCACAAATCTTATGCATGTCTATAAAACACACCAGGCAGAAGTACTACATAGTAACGACCTCAGTAGACCACACAGTTGTCTAAATGGCACCTGCCTGTTGAACAACATAGAACTGTTGACCCTACGAACGCATGACCTGGCTAAATTGTCAGAAAAGTAAGGCCACACCGTGTTGGTGGGAGGACAAAAAATAGTGCATTTGGTTGTGCTTATGTCAGCCAAATTGCAAAGTATGGGAGATGAGCCATATTAGGTTTGCAGTAATGTGTGCAAGCGACCGTTGGCTACGTACTTGGTCACACTTTTGTATTTCCAAAGCAACCTGGTGAAGTGGGTCGCCTCCAACCGTTGTTTGTCCGTTGGAACTGGCGACAGAGAGCCACGCAAGAGATTGGGGTAGTCGTCGCATCACCTCGACTATTGCAACTACTTCCATCAATATGGGGATAGTTTCCCACGCCAAGAAATCGGCACCAGCATCCACTAGGATCTTTGCTCGGGCGTAATGAAACTCCACAAGTTCGTCAAAGGTCATCCTATCTGCATAACTGCCGGAGTATTCGGAACCGTCGGCTAAACATGCACCATAGGGGCCAAGGGAGCCAGCCACCAATACAGGCAATTTACGATTCTTCCACTGATGCGTGTTCGAGGCAAAACTCTCTTCGTCTGTCGTGGCTATTGCTCTTCGGACCAGACGAACGGCATGTCGCATGAGTTCTCTTGCTTCCGAGTCACTGATTTTCAGCGCTTTTGCCAGGGTTGGCGGTGAGGCCTGGTAGGTATTGGTCGAGAGAACATCACAGCCTGCGCGGAGATAGCTGAAAAAGAGCCAAGGGAAACGTATGAGGTTCTGATCACTCATAGATTACGTGTAAGTGAAAATCTAGGGCGAATTTCGCGCATCCGTTCTGTCACCATACCTTGAAAAGGAGCGTTACCTTAGTTTACCACTCTAACTGACAAATACCGGAAGGCGGAAGTCAGACAGGTTATCGTACCTTTTGTGTACTTCACATACCAAGTTCGGGTCTTCTTTCAGTAACCGACAACTCCATGCCTTGTGACCATCGATTGGAAGATGTGATCTTTTTTGGCACTCGCTCCCGACACCACCATCGAGAACGCGTATCTCGTTCAGCCACCTAACAACACGATCGTCTGTCATCGCCCGTCACTTGCCTTCAGACAGTCATGCCAGAAGGTTACCGGCCTAAATGGTTCGTTCAGGCAGTGAAATCTGAAACGATGAGGGCTGGTATTTAACGTGCATTTATGAGAACGTTACAGATTAGAAACTTAGTAGATTCCAATAAAATAAGCACAAAGATTCTCCAGAATAGTGAGTAGTAGTAGTTCGCAAACAAACCAACTTGCTTCCTGCATTTTTGTGCACCCACAACTAATTCACAGGACGAACGACAAAAAAACGATCCGTACCACTTGGGCGACTGTCTTTGGCGGTAATCACATTGGATCAGTCAGCTGTTAGTCATACACTTAGTTTGGAGAAATCCAACTAGCTTCCCGCAGATAGGGAGCCACACAAATCCCTATTTTTTCGCCAAGTTGGTCGAAAAATCGAGGAAAAATTCGTAACGTCGGAATTCACTCACAACGGAGGATGATTAATGAAGTATACGCAGTTCATTGGTATACGTGCCATTCGGTACGGCAATGAGGCATCAGTGTCATGCTGTTGCGCTATGACTAGGTATACTTCGAAAGCAAAACAACCCAGTAACATCCATCTGCCGAAACAATACCGTTCTGATGTATGACCTGAGTTACCAAGTTATGATATCACAAAGAACCTGGCTCGGTGACTAACGAACATCGCGCACTAACCTTACAGGTTCCACATTCACGCGACACAGCATCTTGCTGAATAGTTGGCACAGTTTCGGTCGGTGCCCAGATTAACAACGTTCAAAAGCGTACGGGCCTTGTGAAACGTGTCTTCGGACAAATGTTCGCAAAACGGTAAGCATCACTGTGTAGATATAGGTGAAAAGAGATGAGTACTCCCCTTAAATACCCCAAACACTTGCACAACCTGAATCAACTACAGTCGAGTGTGGCCGGGTGCGATGGACGAGGAATTCCATCCCAACTTGTGTTGCTCTTGTGGGAACACGTATGGGGCAATCTCACACAGTGAGAATGTCTCGCTTCCAATTTTTCGCTGTAACATCGGTTTGCGTAGTCGAAAAGTTAATCAGACTACAGTGGCTTAAAAATAACCACGAACAGATCAGACCTTTGTACAAAGTTGACCATAACATACTCAGTCCCCAAGATCACTAAGTGAGTTACTCGCACCCCTTTCCATAGTCCCCTGACGGAAAAGTCCGAACTCCAAGGTAGCCATTATTAGGATTTACTTGATGGACCAGTGTCGGTGCTTTGGTAATCCCGAGTCTTTCTAGATATTTTTTGAAAACTTCATTTCAAGTCGTTATTTCTTTTGCCCGGTCATTATGGAGGCACACTTTGATTCATCGGATTTAGTCGAGAGTGCAATTAGCATACGTTTACCAGACTATAACCCCGCAATCCCAGGGAATGGTTTCACTAGGTGGAGGCCGTTTTTACCACCCGATGCATCACTTTCCAAGCCACCCGAGTTTCCTATGTCGTCCGGCATCTTCCTTGTGATGTAGCAACAGGAGTAGAAGATCTGTTGGAAGATATTCCCAAGGAAAATCTCTATGACGACCTTCGAGCGGCCGTCATCAGTAGGATAGGGAAGTCCGAAAACGCTGCCGGACTTGTGACAGATCGCCATCACAACTGCTTCGCCACATGTGCAGTCTTCTCTGCGGCCGTAAGCTAGCGATGGAAATCGTGGAACAACTATGGCTCGACAGACTTCCACCCTCCGTGTCCCACGTCATCAGTGCTCTCGTTGATGACCACAGCTTGGGGCAGCTACTAGCCCAAATAGCCGATAAAATCCACGAAACCTACCCCAGTAACTCCGTAAACTCCGTCTCCCGCCCTACACCTGCTACTTCTACAGATTCCGATCCGATTCTTGCTTCCATATCGCAACTACAAGCTAAGTTTGATACTTTGACCGATCGCCTACAACGGCTAGAGACCAACAAGCATCGACCACGTTCACGAGCCCGATTGTCTCGTGCCCGTCCTTCTTGGTGCTGGTATCACCAAACTTTCGGTCCTCAACCACGCAAATGCCAACCGCCTTTTTCCCTCAAGCCGCATCCCAACACCCCTGAATAGTCATCCAGGTATTTTTCCAGCTCATCAACAGAAAAATCGGTCAGCTCTCTCTAGCTCATTGCTGCCTCTATATTTTATGGTTCCCTAAGTGCAAAATGTTATTTCACTGTAACTATCTGGACGTGTGTTCACATGTGACTACTTTCCAAAGAGGCTGTAGTATTAGCAGTGCAAGGAGTGTATACCATTGATAGAAGTTGTAAGATCGTCTGCCTGCCACAAGTAACCGGCCGTCGCCTTTGACGTTACTTATTTTATCGAGTAAGTTAGTGGTACCGACCAACTGTTAGGATTAGTTTGTACGTCCAAACACTGGAGTACTTGACGTTGCCAACCGTCGCCCTAAACAGACGGGAGAGTGAGATATTTTAACAAGGTGACTTAGTGCTCCACGCCCCCTTATCGTCCAGGGTTGGTCTCTCCACTTCGTGGAGTTAATGGACTGGACAAGTTGTAATCACGATCTCCACACGATTGGGAACCTATGAGGTATACCAACGTAGCACGTGTATCAAGTTGCAAACGCCTATAACCGCAAAACCGAGCTGGTGGCTGCCCTAAAACAATAATGGAGAAGCCATCAGTAAAGAGGTTATACACATGCATCAAGAAGATGGCGAAGTGATTTGTAAGAAATTTGAAACAAAAAGGCCAGTAATATCACCAAACACTCGATGAGGGAAGTCACTAATTCTGTTTTCAAGTCAGATGATCACACTAGTGATTTGATTTCGAGTAGATTTCTCATGGGATTTGTCATATCCGGACAAAAATCATTCGGTTACGTTCCCGGAATGAAAAAGGTAATTCTATGATTTTTGGGATGTATTGAACATGGTTGCGCGGTTATTCGGACTGCGCCCTGGACAGCAGCTGCTCTGGAGCAAAATTGTCGTCAAGGCGCCACCTGAGATTGAGAGACAGTTGCGTTGAACAACAGCCACAGGCCGATTTGCTGTTGAGAGCCTACTTCATCCAGCACCCCCGAGGTGCAGCCTGACATAAAGGAAGGACTATAAATGGCCGACAAATTTCGGAAGTAAATGGATCGCCGGCAAAGATTGCAAGACAAGAGTAAGGCATGTTCAGACGGGTAAGCGCTTCAACAGTGACGAAGAAAGTTACTAGGTGGATGAATGCCACCACGACCCGTTTGAAATATCAATAGTGTACCCTTTGATACCTAGCTGCCATTGCACACTATGGAAGCATGAGGGCTGCCCTAGACTAGACAGGAGTAATCGAGATGCAGAGGTTGGGAATGGATCAAAGACCTGCCAGTCAGCGGGCTCGTGTCTTAACCACTGAGCTATCATAAGCTACCATTAGAAATAACAAACCCACATACCATTTTTCCACAATGAGTCCCCATCAACGCCTTAATGCAGGCGAAAATGCGAGAAGCATTCGAGTCAGAAGGAAACCAAGAAATGCGCTTCCTCAATACAAGGTCAGATGTATCACCAAGAATGGAAATGTGGTTGTCGGAAAAACACACTATGTGTGAGAAAAGCAAGCGGATAGCACTAGAATTCGTGGTGACGTTGCGTACGGTGTGTATGGGAGAACTATATAGTAAGAGTTTGAAGTCAGTCCATACATGAAACAAACGATACTGGTGTGCGGAATGGCAGATTCATAGCCGACTTCGAGTGAGACAGCCTGGTGATAGTGTAAAGGACAATGAAGCCCAATCACTCTGTGAACAAACCGCGCGTTTGAAGCCCTCCTTTTGTACTGCGCCAGTAGGGTCTCTCGTCGAATACAATACGTTACTGATAGGCGACGAAGACCTATTAGGATTTTGCCCGTGAATCGAACAAGAAAGCTGCTTTCCAAGAGGTTTTGGTCTTCTGGTTTACATCAGATGTCGACTCATCTACAACAGATCAACAGATTGGTACTGGATATGCTTGATGGAGCTCATAGTGCGTGTATTTCCTTGGTTTTACCTATCAATGATCTTTCTGGATGTTTTTGCTATGCGAAAGAGTTGACCCGAAACCCAATAGTGTAGACACGGAATTTTCCCATCACACTCAACTCCGATGAAAGCCTTTTCTGGAACCGAAGAGGTTCCAAACCGAATGATTTATTTGCCAATAGATGCCACAATCGAAATGTCCACACGACCGGTCGAGATTTACTCGTTCAAGGAGTGGACGTCACACAGGAAGCTGAACCGCCATATCAGTGNGGACGTCACACAGAAAGCTAAACCGCCATATCAGTGATGGACTTCAGACTGAACTTAGTTCGTAGTTTAGTTATGGACACGCACGCCGTATTATATGGGATGGAGGTAATATAACTGTAGTATCGGATGAAAAAACGCGGAACCACTCAGTACCTCTTGGATTCCCAGTGATATTGGCCCTCGTTGTATAAGAACACCTCTGCGTGGAAACCTACCGTGTCCAGTGGTCCATATTCGAGGCTAGCTAAATGGAAGAAACACCGATGCCAAATGACCCAGATGACGGGGTTGACGACCATTGGGCATCAGAAGCGTTCAGTCCAAACGGAATGGAAAACTGCAGTCCATCCGTTATCATAGTCATTGGCAGCAATACACCAGTAATACACATCGGTTCTTAACTACATACAACCTTGATGGATAGAAGTCTTAGTAAGCAGTGGAAACAAAAGACGATGGTAGAGACTTGTGCATACAATCCCTTGAGGATCACGAATAAGGTGCCAGGGACAGCACAGGATGAACGCATGTGGGCACCACGCCGAATCAAGGTGCCATCAGCGGACTTAATCCAGCATCCTTCGTGAAGCTCACATCATATAGGCCCAGCGCATAATGACGGGCGAACTGTACCTAGGCAGTCCGGCTAGATGACAGTATGCGCACCAATGAGATCGGCTGTGTGCCTTTTTCTGTAAGCTTTCCAAACACAAACTTTTTAACAA